TGGTGCAAAGGGGCACTTTGCAGCCACATGTCCGGTAATGAAATGCTCTCTTTGTCAAGAGATCGGTCACTTGGCAAGAGATTGCAATGTTGTAAGGTGTAATCTCTGCGGGGTGTTAGGTCACACATATAACCAATGCCTGGAGGCACTCCGCAACCTCCCAGAGATTGCTGCAGAGCTAGACAGGATGGATTCCGAGGAGGCGGAGGTGGCAGCGGAAAGGGCCAAGTCGGTCTCTGCAGTGGGCTTGGTGGAGCTAGGAGTTGCCTCCGTCGTCTCTCCTGTTGCAGTCTCCCCAGTTGTGCCCACCCCAACTAGTGTCCCGGTAGTGCTTCCTGTTGAGTCTGTCCCCCCTCCCAGTAAGGGGAAAAAACTGTCAGAGGCTGCCAGAGGGGCAGAGGTGGTGGTTGGGAAATCTAGGCCATTGATGCCTGCTCCCCCTGTCCTTCTCCGGTTGAGGAGGGAAAAACTTAGTAGGGAATCTCATGGGTCCCAGGCCCTGTTCAGGGTGAACAGGGTGGGGTTCAGGTGGAGGAGGGGTGGATGGTAGTGGGGAGGCACAGCAAGCCGGTCCTCTCGCCTGCGGGGTCTGTCTCCTCTTTAGAGGTGGGAGACTTGGCCCTTAACAACATGTTTGGGACTCTGTCGGGGGAGGAGGAGGTGTCTGAGGATCCTGTCTCCCCGATGGAGGATGAGGAGGTAGGGGGGGTCTCTCAAGAGGTCAGGGGACCCTTCTAAAAAGGTCAAGAAAAGGGTTAAGAAACGCCACTCTCAATTGTCTTAATGGCAGTTCCCACTCCGATAAAGGTGGCAACTATTAATGTTGCCAGCATAAAGTCTGTGCGTGCTAGAGAGTCAGCCTTATTTTTGCTCAGCGGTGTTGATGCTGATGTTTTGTTTTTGCAGGAGACCAGGTTGCCCAGCTTGGCTGACATACATCTGGCCAAGCGGGAGTGGAGGCGTGGGCCCTCCTGTTGGTCTCTTGCGGCTGAGCCTTACAGCGGAGTTGCGGTGCTTTTTACCGATATGGTAACGTGCCAGCGGATTATTGAGGTGGAGATTGGACGATGTCTGATCCTAGATGTCCTTGTGAGGGGGCAGGAACTGCGCCTAATTAACATTTATGGACCACAGTCCAAGTGGGACAGGAAATACCTCTTCACAAAGATCAAGCCTTTCCTTTTTACGTCTCGGCTGGTGGTCTTTGGAGGTGATTTTAACACCATAACTAGGCCCAAGGACAGGAGGGGCTTCAATGACAGGCTGGGATTTGATAGCGTTTTTCTGAATGCTATAGTCAGGGAAGCAGGTCTGGTGGACGCCTTGGTTAAGAGCAGCCCAGACAGCACTGGTTTCACGTTTAGGAGAGGTAATAGTCAGAGTAGGATAGACAGGTTTTTTTGAAGGAGGATTCTGCCTTCTTGACACCTGAGTGTCGGGCGGTGGAGTTTTCTGACCACCTTATGCTTACTGTGACTTTGAATGTTTCAGACACGCCGCTGAGAGGTAAGGGCATCTGGAGGTTGAATTCGGCTCTGCTGGAAGACAAGGAGGTGAGACAATCTTTTGAGGAGTTCTTTCAGGCCCAGGAGACCGTGCTGGATTTCTGCAACAGTAAGTCGGAGTGGTGGAAGCTTACTAAGGTGCGGATTGGCAGGTTTTTCAAGGTCATAGGAAAAAGAAAGCAATTTAATAAGTACATAGCCTATCAACGGTTGATGAAGGAACGGAGGTTGACGGAGGAAGCTCGATCGCTTTGTGGAGATTCTGGGGCAATCTCGGAGGTCAAGCTTCTCCTCAGGGAGTGCCAGTATGACCGGCGTGCCTCTTTGGTTCTGGAGAGCTATTATGGGAAGTACCACTCGCCTGACCCTTTTCAGAACTGCAAACAGGGTGCAGCAATCAAGACGGTCTCTGCCCTGAGGGATGGTACAGGGTCTCTGACGAGATCCAGGTCAGGGATTCTGGAAGTCTCTAGGTCCTTTTATGTGGACTTGCTGAGTGAGAAGCACCTCAACCAGACAAGGATGTTAAGCTTTTTGGAGTCTACACCGGGTCTGGAAGGTAATGTCTCACCCGCAATTTTGACTGGGGAAATTACTGCAGAAGAGGTGATCAAAGCCATTGACAGTCTGGCCATTAAAAAGACTCCTGGGCCAGATGGTTTGACAGCTGAGTTTTTTAAGACCTTTAAGTCCAGCTTGGCGCCTCGCCTTGCGGAGGTTTACAATTGCTGTCTGGGTGAGGGGTCCCTCCCTCCCTCCATGAGGCAGTCTGCAGTGATTCTCCTGTCAAAGGGTAAGGATCCTTTGGCTATTGAGAACTGGCGCCCCATTAGCCTTCTCAATGTCAATAGAAAGGTTCTGGCTAAGATCTTGTTCTGGCGCTTATCGTCAGTGGCAGACGGCTTGCTTTCTCCTCAGCAGCATTGCTCGGTTCAGGGCAGAAGTACCTTCACAGCGATGTTAGCTGTCCGGGAGGCTCTGGAACGGTGTAAGGCTGAGGGATGGGGAAAGTTTCTGCTGGCTGTGGACCAGGCAAAGGCTTTTGACCGAGTCAATCACGAGTACCTCTGGCATCTCCTGGACCGGTACGGTTTGGAGGGGAGGTTCATTGGCTGGCTGAAGACATTATACAAGGAGGCTGAGAGCTTCATGTTGGTGAATGGTTGGGTTGGGCGGCCTTTTGGGGTCGGATCGGGGGTGCGCCAGGGGTGCCCGCTGAGCCCTCTGCTCTACGTTTTCACTATCGACCCCTTCGTCAGGAGGCTAGATGGTGGGGCGTGGGGGGGGGGTGCCGGTGGGTGCTGCTGGGGATCCACCCCTGAGGGTCGTCGCCTATGCTGATGACGTTTCTGTCTTCATCTCCGGGACCGGGGAGGCGCAGGAGGTGGTCTCGGTGATGTATCAGTATGCCGAGGCATCTGGCTCCAAGGTCAATCAGGACAAATGTGAAGTTCTCTGGATGGGTGGGGAGGGTGAGAGCTTCTCACTTCCGGACACCTTCCCAGTGCCTCAGCAGAGTGTGAAAATTTTAGGCATCAATTTCGGCCCTGCTGATTACAGCAAGTCAAATTGGGAGGCCAAGCTGTCCGATGCTGAGGTCAAGGTGAGATGATGGAAGGGGTGGCGGCTCTCCTTAAGGGAAAGGGTTAACCTGATCAAAACTTTCTTGGTCCCTGTGTTTTTGTATGTCAGTTTTGTTTGCCTCTTGCCAGAGTTGCTCTATGCGAGGATTTACAGCTGTTTCTTCCAGATGTTATGGGGGAACAGGCTGAACCTTGTCAGGCAGGATGTAACCTACTCATCCAGGCAGGAGGGTGGCCTAGGTATGGTCAACCCGATAGTTTTCTTCTCTCTGAAGTTCTTGAAACATAATGTTGGTAACATGCTGTCAGAGAGACCACCCGCATGGGTAGGGCTGTTTCGGACTTGGTTTGGACTCTTTCTGAGCAGTTGGGAGAGTGGCGGGCCAGTGAAAAGCCTGCGGGTCAAGCACGGTAAGCTCCCGGCTTATGTGGCCCCGTGCCTGAAGTTACTCTGGTGGTGGCATGTGAAGGTGGAGGAGGTCAGATCCCTCCCTAGGAGGCTCCTGGGTGAGAGGATTGTGGCGACCGCTTTCCATGCGCCGTTGGCCTTGAAAGATTGCCCAGGACATATAATGAGGGAGGGTTTACATTTGATAAATTTAGAACGGATTCCCTTGAAGTTTAGGGACCAGGCCTGGCTCACTTTCCATGGCAGGCTTTACGTGAGGGGTAACTTGAAGTACCGTCCTCCAGATGACCGTGGTTGTCGAGGTTGGAGTGTCAGGGTGAAGTGGAAACTATGGACCACTTCTTGCTTCAGTGCCCTTTTAACGTGGAAGTATATAAAGAGGCGGGTGGGGCTCTGGGTGTTTCTTTCCTACACTGCATGTCGTATGCAGAGTGGGTGTATGGAGCATTCGAAAGCCGCCAGGGTTTTGATTTGGACACCTTGTTTTAGTCAGCTTAGTGGTCCGTTATTACACGTGAAATGCACGGTGCCAGGTATGCCTTTGGCAGAAAGTCCTCCCCGTCCAGGTGGTGGTGTGTGGCATCCTTGGTGAGGTTGGGAAGATTCGGGCCTTGAGAGAGGCAGGTGGCGGCGGAAGGCTTGGATGGAGGCGTGGAGGAACATCAAGCCTGTAGCTGCTGCCTGTTGATCTCGGGTGGTGGCATCTGTCCCTAGTTTTTCTTTCCCTCGATTTTGCAGGTATGGATCCTTTTTTGATGAAAGGCTGCAGATGCTGAAGGTCTGAGTTTCTTAGTCCTTTTCTTGGGTATGTAATTGTTTGTTGTATAGCATGTTTAGGTCATAAAGGCCGTCTGAAGCAGTGAGATGGAAATTGATTGTTTTTTTGGCCATAAAGGCCTTTCATAAGTAAATCTTTTTTTGCTGATGGTGTGTTTTTTTCTTGTATGCCTGGAGCATCAGGCTTCGTTGCTCCTTCTTTTGGCCATAAAGGCCTATATGTATATATGTTGTGTGTTTTTTTTTTTTTTTATTAGGTATGAACTTTTCTGTTTAAGGCCACAAAGGCCGTGGACTACTATGGTGCAGGCCGTAAATGGCTGTTTCATTTTGTATTGAGTTTTTCCCTTTCAGGGAGTTCTGGACTTTTTGTTTGTACACGTGGTTTATGTTTGTATTATTTATATATTTTTTTACTTTTATAAGAAAAAGTTGTGGCTGTTTTGTATGCTACAATTGTACAATAAAAAATCTCCATTCCTGACAGTACCCCCCCCCCCTCAAGGAACGGCCTCAGGACGCTCCAAACAGTCCTTAGTGAGCAAAATTTTCCACCGCCCGGTTCAGGTAACTGGCTGAATATCCTACTGCCGGAGTCAACCGGCTGGCTGGGTTTCCTGCTGGTAGACTTCTCTTTGTGTAGGAGAACCCAGGAAGGCAGGTTACTGGACACAGGATCTCCAGAAGCAGGCTGGGAATCAGTTATTGGCCAGTTTAGCTGGCACATCAGGCTGGGCAGCGAGTGGAGGCACATCATGCTGGGCAGCGGGCACATCAGGCTGGGCAGCGGGCACTGAGGTATCTGGCACGACAGCGGGCACTGAGTCATCTGGCACAACAGCGGGCACCGAGCCATCTAGCAGAACAGCGGGCACCGAGTCACCTGGCACGACAGCGGGCACCGAGTCACCTGGCACGACAGCGGGCACCGAGTCATCAAGCTCGACAGCGGGCACCGAGTCATCTGGCATGACAGCGGGCACCGAGTCACCAAGCTCGACAGCGGGCACCGAGTCACCAAGCTCGACAGCGGGCACCGAGTCATCTGGCAGAACAGCGGGCACTGATTCATCTGGCTGGATCGGGTCATCAGGCTGGATCGGGTCATCAGGCTGGGTAGGAACATCAGGCTGGGTAGTAACATCAGGCTGGATCAGATCATCAGGCTGGGTAACGTACACTGGGTCATCAGGCATCCAGACATCAGGCTGAACAGCGGGCAATGGGGCACCAGGCTGGATAACAGAAGGTGGGTTCTCAGACCGCAGGCTGACCGGTTTGGATTCTGGCAGGATGATGCTGTTTGGAAAGAATTTTCGCTTCTTCCTGGTTTTAGTTACTGGAGCACTGTAAGTAAACGCAGGTCTGTAAACGGAGGGAGCAGCTTCTACAGATGACTTCTTTACAGGGTTAAAGGCAGGATAGGTGCAGCGAGTGGGAACAGGGGACTGGCATGTGGTTGATAGCAGGGTATACTGGGCTGTCACTAGGGGTGCTGTCGGGATGCAGGAATAGAGCTTTGAAGAAATAGATTAGAAGCAGGACTGGGTTTTTGCAAGCTGACTGAGGCTGGGTGTAACAAGTCTGACCATGTCTGTAATAACGGTTGAACAAAACTCAGCTTGCACATAGCCTGTCTGACCAAAGACTGCACTGCGTTTATGCAATCCACAAGCACATGTGATGGACAAACTGCATAATGCTCATGGAAGCAATCTGGATCATCCTCCAACAACCACACTAGTGATTCCACTTGATCTGCACTAAATGGTGGAAGAAAGTCATCCCTGCTTTCAGGGGTACAGGACAGAGCCAACTCAGCACAAACCTGGATCAATGGCTGCACCTCAGAAAACCCCGTGCCCTGATCTACTTGTGAATGAGCAACTTGTATGCATTCTAGCAGCTGACCCCTGGTATGCTCTTTCAGAATCTGATTGCCATACTCTCTGTCTTCTAAGACTAACAGCGACAAGTACACAACCTCCTCCGGATGCATCCTTCACAACAACAAGTAAAAATGGCTTCCCTGTGCAGCCAATTCTGGTCAGGAGTGGCCTTGGTGTAATGTCAGGGATCCGGGTATGACCAGAGATGTGTGGACCGACACAGGGAAACGCAGACTTCAGGTATATTATAAAACAATACAATTTATTAAAGGCTAACATAAACACAGTGCAAACAAACCAAACCTCCAACAGATAATAATATGTACAACACCAAACGTAGTCAGGCGGGCTGGGTCGGTAGCAAACGGGCAGACAAGGTACAAGGAGCAGGCGGAAGAGTGTTCAGGAATAGCCGAGGTCGGTACAGGCAGAGTTCATGCAAAGTCAGGATCAGGCAGGGATCAGGCAGGAAGCAGGTACAGGGGCTCATGGGAACAATACACCAAGGCACTGACTGCAGGCCTTTCCATTCCTTAAATACACCTCCTGCAATCAGCCTCAGGTGATGGCTTGATTGCAGGAATGAGCTTCTGGCTGCTGAGAGTACTCTCTGGCCAGCCCTGGTACTGCAGCCCACACGGCAGGTGAGTCCCACCACCAGTAGTGAATCCATTCCGGACAAATTCTTTCCAAATCAGCCAATGTGATTGTCTGGATTTTTTTTCTCATTTTGTCTCTCATAGTTGAGGTCTACCTATGCTGCCAATTACAGGCTCTCTCTCATCTTTTTAAGTGGGAGAACTTGTACAATTGGTGGCTGACTAAACATTTTTTGCCCCACTGTAAATGACAGTCAGTCAAGTTTCATATGGCACCTGTAATGTTGGAGTATAGTGCTGCTTCAAAAATATATGGCAATGAGAAAAAATATTGCTACACAGGAAGCAGAAAAATCTGCACGTTTATTCTGTGAAAATTAAGTCTTCTGAGCGTGGGTTGCTGCAACCCAGAGTATCTCTGGAGAAGGGTGTCTAGCCAGCAATGCTGTGACAAGGTCCTCCAATGCCCAGAGCAAAGATAGGAAACTGGCACCCCACAACCCCCCTGAAAAGTTTATGATCAGTACATAAATATTGAGATAACAGTGGCAAAGGAATACATGCCCCTGAGTTGATGGTGTTCCTGAAATGAAAAAATATCCCTGAGTTAGTGGTGTTACTGGAAGGAAAAAATGTACCTGACTTGGCAGAGTGGAAAGAAAAAATGTCAGTAAGGTGGTGTCACTGAAAGGAAAAAATATCCCTGAGCTGGTGGTGACACGAAAAAGAAAAACTGTCCCCCTCGTTAGTGGTGTCACTTAGATGAAATAAAATGTCCCTAAGTTGGTAGTGTCACTGCAAGGAAAAACTGTCTGCGCAGTAGTGATGAGAGAAAAAATGCCCCTGGTCACTGGTGTCACAGAAAGGAAACAATGTCCCCTCATTGGTGATGTCACTGGAAGAAACACCACTACAAATCTCCCCCCACTTCCCCAATACAGAGCATTTCCCTAAACTCCAACCACCCACTACAAACCTCATTACTATAAATGAGCTCAGGCATTTTCTGCAAACCTGCCTGAGCTAGACCCATCAGGAAGCTGTCATTTTTTTTTTTTTTCTCATTTTGTCTCTCATAGTTGAGGTCTACCTATGATGCCAATTACAGGCCTCTCTCATCTTTTTAAGTGGGAGAACTTGCACAATTGGTGGCTGACTAAATACTTTTTTGCCCCACTGTATATAAATGATTTTGCAGTTCCCGGTAGGGTGTGTGTGCGAGCCACATGCATGCCCTACCTGCGCCACCATTTGCGGCCTCGGCTGTCAATCACCGGGTCCCGGACGAGTATCTTGACGGGTAAGAACTGTTTGCAAACAATACAGTTCTCTCCCCTGTCAGCTCCTCCACACTGCTTTGCATGTCTCTGCATAGCACAGCCATACGAAGCAGTGTGCTTACAGTGAAGCACACAGAGCACATGATGTAAAACGGCACACAGCACACAGTTAACCCTTTGATCGCCCCACATGTTAACCCCTTCCTGCCCAGTGCACTGATCACTGTATTGGTCTCACTGGGGATGTCAGTGACTCTAAGTCAGTTTCCCCTAGTATCAGAATGCCCGCCGCAGTCCCGCTATAAGTTGCTGATCGCTGCCATTGATAGCAAACATTAAAAAGAAAATCCCAGTATATATACCGCCATTTGTAAACGCTATAACTTTCACGTAAACCAATTAATTTACACACATTGGGATTTTTTTTAGCAAAGACATATATCAAAATACATTTTAGCATTAATTTCTGACATTTTATTTTTTTAATTTTTATAGTGGACATGTTTAACCAATTCAATACCGTGCAATTTTACACCTTCCTGCCCAGGCCATTTTTCAGGTTTCAGCGCTCTCACACTTTGAATGACAATTGCGCAGTCATCCAACACTGTACCCAAACTAAAATGAAAAAAAAAAAAATATATTTTCACAATTTTTTTTTACATACTGTCACCAGTGCAGTACAGTGTCATCATATAAATGGCATGGCGGTGATCAATGACACTGACTGGTGACAGTGTGGGAAAAAAAAAAATATATATATATATATATACGGTATATATATATATTTTTTTTTTTTTGTTTTGTTTTATTTTACATTTTTTATTAAATTTTTTTTCTTTTTTTTAAGATTTTTTTTTCATATTTCACTGTGTCCAAAGTAGTACAATGTTACCATAGTAACATTGTACTACTTTGGGGAAGTGATCAGTTTTTTTATTTATTCATTTATTTTTTTTTACACAATTTGCTTATAGCAAAGGATTACTTTGTTATAAGCAAGCATTTACCTGAATGACATTGATTCATTCAGGGTTTTTTTTTTTTTTTTTTGTGCTTAGCTGTGATTTGGCCACAGCTAATCACATGACAAGTGCATGTGATTAGCTGTGACCATTCACAGCTAGACACTAGTATACAATGAATGGCATGAATGAAGCCATCCATTGGTCACAGCAGGTCACATGGTACCGGCAACGGGGGCTGATACTCAGATCTGTCATCGGCCGTGTCCGAGGTACACGGCCGGTGACAGATCGCGCCGCTGAGCGGCTCTGCAAGCGCACGAACTGCGCATGTGCAGGAGGACGTCATATGGCAGCCTCCCGGAAAGCTAATACATTTTTACAGATGCCATTCGGCCATAGGCCGGGCATCAAATGGTTAATAGCAAAAGTCAAAAATATAGTTTTTTTTCTCAATTTTTTTTTTTTAGAACGCAAAAAAATAAAAACACACAGGTAATCAAATACCATAGAAAGAAAGCTCTATTTGTGAAAAAAAAGGACGTAAATTTCATTTGGGTGCAGCATTGCAAGTCCAAGCAATTGTCAGTTAAATTTACACAGACAATGGCATGGTCAGGAAGGGGGGTAATTCCTCTGGAGGGCAAGTGGTTAAGGAGTGGGCAGCTGCCGCACCCTTAACAACCATGGCTCATTTACTGTCAGCAGGATTCCCCACACACAAACAGAACTTTTTGATAAGTCCCCAAAAAAATAAATGCCCCCCGAAGTAGATCCAACGTAAATCATGATAAATGCATGAAAAAAAAGCCCTCACTGCCGGCTGAACACAACATGCTCTGTCCAGGGACACATGCTGAATGACAGGTAAACATGGGGCAAGTCACCCAATGATGTCACTAGGTAACCCTGCCCCCATATCTACCTGTCATTGGGCGAGTGTCTCTCCACTTGACACATCACTCAGCGATTGACAGTTAGACAGGGGAGCTTATTTATTTTCATGTGGGTTGGCATTCATCGTGATTCACCTTGGATCTACTTCAGGGGACATATATTTTTTGGTTTTTTTTTAATGGAGGGCTTGTCAAAACCTGTGTTTGTTTTACATTTGACACTTCTTTTGGGGAAAGAGTAGGGGTATGGCATGGGGTTCCCCCTAAAATCCAGCACTTCTTTTGTTTACATTCTGCTGATAGTAAGGAATACCGCTGACAGCAGATGAGTCATGTCTGCTAAGGATGTGGCGGGCGGATGGCCAATCAACAGATTGATCTCTGTACAACCATCCTGCCCATAGATGGATCAAAATTCGACTAGTACTTGCTGAACCGGTTGAATTTTGATGCATCTATAGCTGACTTAACTCTCTTCCGCTAGTGATGAGCTCAACTGCAAATCAATAGGAACCAAAATCTATCAAATTAAAATGTGCATTTTTTGGGCTAATGAGCAAGGGAGTGTCAAAAATAGCATGGGGGTGCACTGCCCTTTGGCATTGATGTCACTGCTATCATTGTAGCTTTGCTTAAAAGGTGTGGGGATTCCTGTGGTGTCAGTT